AAAATGTCAAACCCTACGCCACTCCAATGAACTAATCTACAAAGCTTGACAAAGATTAAGGAGGTAAATATGTAGATGTTAAATTGTATAGGTCAATGATTGGCTCTTTACTTTATCTAACCGCAAGTAGACCGGACATTATGTTTAGTGTTTGCTTATGTGCTAGATTTCAATCATACCCAAAGGAATCACATCTACTAGCCATTAAGAGAATCTTTAGATACCTCAAGGACACTCCTAGTTTAGGACTTTGGTATACTAGAGACTCTAGCTTTAGCTTGCATGCCTTCTCTGATGCGGATTATGGATGATGCAAAATAGATAGGAAAAGCACCTCCGGTACTTGTCAATTTCTAGGAAATCTGATGAATTCATGGTTTTCAAAGAAACAAAATAGTGTTGCATTATCTACCACTGAAGTAGAATAAATTTCAGCTGGTAGTTGTTGTGTACAAGTTTTATGGATGAAATAACAACTTTTAGATTATGGAATTGAAGTTGGTACCATGCCTATCAAGTGTGACAATACTAGTGCTATTTGTCTCACTAAAAATCCCATCCAATACTCTAGAACTAAACACATTGAAATTAGACATCATTTCATTAGAGATCATGTCACTAAAGGAGATGTAGTTCTAGAATTTGTAGATACTTTGCATCAAATAGCTAAAATTTTTACAAAACCTTTAGATAAAGAGAGATTTTGGACACTTAGGAGATAATTAGGTTTAACAAACCTACCTTGACTTAGTGTTTAAAATAATTTTAGCACTTTTAATTTTAAAAAATGAAAAAATCTTATAAAAATAACATTTTTGAATTGTTTCTATGCTAATAGTTTGAGGGAGTTTATGATCTTTAGTGAAAATTAATAATATGTTCAAATAAAATTTTAAGGATAGATTTTATTGAACATAGTTAATTTTCGAAATATGAATTGCCAATACCACTAGAGCTAATTAATTTAGCATTATAAGTGCTTAAAAACAGATTTTGACATTTTTGTGCAATGTGTAACGATACCTAGGTATCGATACATCCTCGCTATGTATCGATACACTATGAATGTGTACCGATACATTCCTTGAATATGTATTGATACACTCTGAAGTGTATCAATACACCCGTCGGGTTTAGGCTTAAAATCCCTAAAAACTTCATTTTTTTCTCAAAACCTAAACTAAACACTCACCCGCTGGTTCTCTTCACTCTCCATACTCAATCTCCATATTACTCAAAACCTTCAAAATCAAGTCAGAATTCTTTAAATTTTCAACTCCCAATCCTGCTTTCATCAACAAATTCATGCAATCAACAACAAAATCCACTCAAATATGAAATTTTCAAGGTAACTTTTCTAAAAACTATTTTATTGGTTTTCGAACATAGGACTAGTTTTAGTTAGTTCTAGTTCGATATAGTATCAGGCATTGCTTATATTTTGATTATAAACTAGATTCTACAACTAATTTCATCAAAAAACAATTCTTTCAATTTTGTTTAAAATTTTGAAATAAAAAAAATTATTTCGTTTTTAAATTGTTGTTTTTGATTTAATTATGTTGTTTTGAAAACTATATAATGATTTTCAAACTTAGGGGGTTGTTTGTTTACTTCAGAATGATTAAGCACTGAATCATTCAAAGGCTCTGTATGAATTAGCTCTGAATGTGACATGTTGTTTGATAATGGCTCTAAATCATTCAGAATGTACTTCTGTGTTGAATCATTCATCACTGTTTTGCTGAATCAGTCAACACTGAATCATTCAAAGGTGAGAAACAAACAGTCTGAATTCTGAATGGTTTAACATTCAACGTTGAATGGTTCCATTCAGAGCCAAATAAACAACCCCTTAATTTTCAAAATGGTTTTCAAAAAATTCCCTTTAGGATTAGTTTTAGAGAACCTTAAATATTGAGGACTCATATTGAGTTTTCAGATTGATTTTGTTGCATACATGTGTTTTAAAATTGCAGGTATCCTTATCCATTCCGATTTTAACCATGTCTTATTCCAAACGCCCTAGGACTTCGTGTAGTCGGCCAAACCAACCTACAAACCGACCTCCTATTCTACCTCCCAATCCAAATCCAAACAAACCGAAATGACTATCCTGAATTCTTGTTTTAACGAACCTGTTCATCTGGAAAATCTCTACACTAGGTTTGTTGACCTATTTGAGTCATATAGAATCTGGGAAGAGCGTATCCCCTCAATCCAAGCCATGATCGATATGAAATTTAAATATTTCTACTCTTAAATCTTGGAAATTTGATAAACTTTTTTAGCTTCAACATGTCGTTTATCACCAACTCGTCCACATTTTCTAGTCCAATACGGTTTGTGTCAGTATTATCTCTTAGGTCAATATGTTTATATTGACTCTGGCACAATCGCTAACACCTTTGGTTTAGATAACGAGGGTTTAGATAACGAGAAAGAAATTGTAGCTACCCGTTATAGAGACAAGGCTAGTGCAAGTACATTGTCAACTCATCACAAGCGTTTTCTTCATTTAATCATCTCTTGGTGGTTTAGACCATCCGGAGGAGGTAGATATTCTACGTTTATAGGACTAGACCTTTGGTGGATACATGTATCCAGAATAAAAAGAAAATAAACTTGCCACAGATTATTTTTGCTGAACTAGTTGAAACCGTAAACAACGTTCCCTCCAAACATGTAGAAACCTTAGTTTACAGTTGTCTTCTTAGTAATTTATGAATCAAATCCAATCTTAGGGTTTAGCTTGATGCATCCATCCCTCTTAAAAGCCAAATAAATTTCAAAACCTTGCGTAAATCGGGATGGTATGGGGATAAAGATCAATGGGTTCGATTAACCCAGAAAACACCGGGTGCTAGCTCTTCACGAGCTGCTCCGACACCGACTGCTTATGATGATCCAGAGCTTAAAGAAATTCTATGGGACATCGACTATCCCATCAACCTAGCTAAGGACGTGACGGTCCAGTAAGAGGATTAAATGCCTCTATATTTTTGTTCATTCATGGAGATATTTGATATGAGGTTTGCATACATAGAGTCTCATTTAACCGCTATGGGGGCTCAACAATTGGAGATTAAACAGGAGATGAGAGATAATAACCAAATATGAATGAAAGACTAAATGCGCTTACACTCGATATTGCTGCTATGCGAGCACATTTCCCTCCTCCCGACCCACCAATGGATGACTAAATCGTTTCTTGCTTAGTTTTCATAGGTTGAATTTGAACTTATTGTTAAATCATTTTGATATGTTTTAGATTTGTGTGTTTTTGATGTTTAGATATATTTGAATGGTTAATTTGGACTTCATGTTTATTATTATTTCATTAATTTTGCATCATTTACATCTTAGTTGAAATATGACCAATTACCATTACACATTTATGAATATTGTTTATGGACTAATGGCTAACAATTCTCTTGATTGTGATCTTAGCAGCTTAAGCTATATCTATATAAATCAATTGGTTATTTTCTTTTAAACCTTGTTTAAATGTTTTTATAGAGTCTTTTTGATTTAACAAAACGGGGGAGAATAAAGTAAGGGAGAATAATTTTTCAAAATTGATTTCAAAAATAATTTTCAAGAAGAAAATCTTTAAATTACTTAAATGTATTGTTATATCAAAAATTAAATGTATTGTTATATCAAAAAAGAGGGAGATTGTTGAAAACATTTTGATGTTTCGATATAACAAATAAAGTACTATTGAATTTTAAGATTTTATATTTAATTTTGAATTATATATTCGATTTAATTATTTGAATATCAAATATATTACTCCAAGTTTTTCAAATGTCAATTTTTAATTCTTACTTAAGTGTAAAATTGTGTTTAAATCTTAAAATATTTTTAAACAATTTTAATAACGTATTTCGAACCATAATCGAGCCAAAAATAATTTTTACAAAGGGATGTATCGATACACCCCATATTTCGAATGTAATTAGTATACCGATACACAATCGATGTACCGATACACTCCAGGCTCCGAGAAACGTCGAATGTAATTAGTGAACCGATACACCTGGGATGTATCGATACACTTGGTCAACTAACGGTTGAAATATTTGAATTTTACACTGAGTGTACCAATACACTTTGATAGTGTGCCGATACACCTACGCTCCCATCATATTTTTTAAATGGAAAACATACTACATCGACTCTATTGACTTCACCATTGATCCCAATGTTCAGAACTGATCCTAGGTGTATTTAAACAAGATCAGGAGCCATTAATCAAGAAGAAGAAACAAGAATTGAGAGAGAATCAAAAAGAAAGCCTTAAACTTATTGTTTGAGCATTTCAAGCCTATTTTCCATTCAATATTCATTTTGCTTTAAAGAACACCATTTGTACTCAATTGTATTTATTCTTGAGTGTTCTTTCTTTGTTTTAGAATTGTGCAAACAATCTACCTTGTGAGGTTTTTCTGTAAGTTTGTGAATTTGTAATTTTTCTCTTTGTGAGAGAGTGTTCTCAAGAATTTGGGGTATATTTCTTGAGGGAGTTGTAAGGTTACTCTTTTTCCTCAAAAGAAAGACAAATTAGTGAATTTGTAGAAAATCCTTAGTGTGGATAGCTAAGGTAGTGGACGTAGACTTTGGTTGAGAAAGTCGAACCACTCTAAATCGCTGTGCAAATTTTTTCAATTTTCTGTCAAAGCTTCCACCAATATTTTATTCCAATTCACCCCCTTCTTGGCTATTACGTCGATCGATTAACTCAACAGATCATTTTGTAACTTTTAATAGTTGATAGACTCAACAAAGTAGTATCCTATAGTTGGGGAACCATTTGTGTACTTTATCCTACTATTTTCAGGGTCTAATTATGCCCCCTATTCAGCTTCTAAATCCAATAATTTAGTTCCTCCACTTGTCCAACTTTAAGGGAAATCAATTAAATTGTTGTCAATTGGACCTAAATTTTTAAATCAGACGAGTAGAAAGACTAAATTTTGGTTTTTGAAAACTCTCAGGTGGTCAGCAATAGCAGCGAAATTATCAGGAAGAACAGACAACGAGATAAAAAATGTATGGCTCACTCACTTGAAGAAGAGACTCAATCAATACAAGACCAAACCAGGTAACGTCAAGTCCAAAAACAAGATTAAATCCGAGCCGTCCATCACAAGCCAATTTAGTGGCGAGGTCCCATCATCATTATCATCATCTGAAGTTTCCTCCATTACAGACACCAGTGATCATAGGGAAGTCGACGACATCAAGGCTGAAAACATGGTGGTTTCCTGGGAATGTTTCCCCGAAATTGCTGAAAGTTTCTGCTCCGATAATCCGAACACTCCGACGTTAAACTTCGAACCGGTCTCCGATGAAGTTGCTTCGTTTTCGATCAGTCGTCAAAATCATGATGATGATTCAATGGAGTTTTGGTACGACCTGTTCGTTAAAGCTGGAGGTGAAGACCTTTTGGTTGTGGGTGGGCAGACATGAAAATAAGAGGCAAAAGGAAACACTTAGTGATAGGGATGGATTAGAACAAATAGAGATTCACAAACTAACAAATTTATATAGAAGGATGATAATGAGAATTTCTTGTTTTACAAATCGAAATTTAATATTTATGCAACTATTTTTGTTTTGAGAAAAATACAGGGAAAGGGCATCAATAATTTAGGGATAAGAATCAATTATACAGTGTAGAACTTTTTAAATTTATACAGATTTAGAATCGTTGGATGACTGAAAATAGATAGTTGAGATTAACATTAGGAAATGAGAAAATATTCACATGAAAAAATCAATGATTCAATCTCAACAGTCTATTTTTACTCATCCAACGATACCAACTCTGCGTAAAATTAAAATAGTTTTATATTGTGTAAGTAGATCTTAACTCGGATAATTTATAAATAGTTAATGTTTTTATTTTGAAACTTGATTTTAAGCCCATTATTTTTTGCTAACATTAACACGATAGAGATTTATAGGTAAACATTTATTATTTATTATTTATTCTTGATCTTCAGTTTATCAGTTCTAAAATATAAAACCTTAAGTATTCATGTATGAATTTTGATTTATTGGGTGTATCTATTATTGGTGGAAGAAATATAATTGTGATGATTTGATACAATTCGTCCTTTTTCTATTAAATGAAGAATCATAGATAGTGATTTAATAGGTTTAAAGAGAAGATGAACAAGAGAAAAAAATAGAGAGAGGGAGTCCCTTCTCTAGTGTCTTGTATGGTGATTTATATAAAAGTTTATATCTAAGATGATGATGTTTATTTGTAAGTTGACATATTAAATAAATATGACTGTCAAATAGTAGACTTAATTGGTAGATCAACTAGGCTTATCAGTTGTCATGTCAAGAATATGTAGCTGATCGAAGGACATGAAACTTTAGAAGCTTTGAAGTTCGATAGGTGAAAGAATAATAACAGAGGCATAACATATGGAGGAGATACAACACTTTAAATGAGCAATTTCTCAGGAACTAAAATTATTGTAGACTTATTTTCGTCCGGGACTTAAGGGTGTTTATTACTTTTTATATACTATATAGTATATATGATAAGATATATATATATAATAATTCAAAATATAATATTATAGTCTTTGAAAATATATAATATAGTTTTTGAAAACATATTGAAGTTCGATAGGTGAAAGAATAATAACAGAGGCATAACATATGGAGGAGATACAACACTTTAAATGAGCAATTTCTCAGGAACTAAAATTATTGTAGACACTTATTTTCGTCCGGGACTTTAAGGGTGTTTATTACTTTTTTATATACTATATAGTATATATGATAATATATATATATATAATAATTTCCAAAATATATAATATATATAGTCTTTGAAAATATATAATATAGTTTTTGAAAACATATTATATAATTTTGAAAACGTATAATATATAGTTTTTAAAACGGTTTTTGAAAAAGTATATAATATATGTAATTTTTGAAAATATATTATATATTTTTTGAAATATAATATATATTATATTTTTGAAATATAATATATATTATATAGTTTTTAATAATATACATATTATTATATATTATTATTAGTATTTTATTTTCCTTTTTATTATCTATTTTTATTTTTATTTACTTTCATTTTATTTTAATTATTTCATCTTTGTTTTAGGTCCATTAAGAGTCCAAGTCCAAAAGGAGTCACGATCCATCGAAGGTAAGGAAGCAAGGGTCCAAGTCAGGGCCTGCCTGACCCAGCAGGCCAAGACCGAGAAGCAAGGAGTAAAGCCCAAATACCCAAGAAGCCAATAGCTTGACCTAGTAGATCAGGGTTCCAACACTTAGCAAGGGCGCCGCACGGGATATGTCAAATGGCGCGTGAGCCAGGCACTGACGTTAAACCAGCCACTTCGGTACCCAAAACAGAAAATCACAAAAAAAAAATAGGATCGGATGAGGTAAATCATGTCCTTTTCGGGGTCACAACGGCTGGAACCAATGCTATAAAAGCCCCTGTACAATCGAGATGAAAAGAGAACGAATAAAATGAACAAAAAGGCAAAAGGAAAATTTCGTCGAGCAATCAAAGCAACCAAGCAACAAACACACAAACATTACCAAAAATATTTGAAATACCCATCGAGAAAATCATGAAAAATAAAGGCTAGCATCGATCAAGATTCGGAAGAGGAGCGGTCGCTGGGAAAATGAAAGGTTTTCGTCAGAAAAGGTAAAAAATTGAATTTTAGAACGTATATCTACGCTTTTTGGTACATTTTTTGAGGTTTTGGGCTTCAATTTTTGCTTTGGGGTAGCGAGAGGCGCGTTTTGGGGTAGTTTAGGTTTTTCAGCCACTAGTGGTGGTGGCCAAAGCAACAATCCTGGCGGCGGGTGGTCACTGGAGAGTGGCCTGCACTTGGCCGGTTGGGGACTATGTAATTATAATATTCTTAAATTATTTTTGTAAACCTTACAGTTTTGATACGTAGTTCATTTTGGTCACCTATTGTAAATTTACCCTTGAATTTTAAATTAATTCAATTTAATCACTATTTATATTTCTTATATTTTTCAAATTGTCCCCCTAACCTTTTTATTTTTCCTTGCAACTTTTATTTAGCATTAATTCCACCTCTAATCTTTTAATTCTTTTCAATTTAATCATCTTTAATATTTGTTCTTTTAATTTAATACCTTTTTATTTATTTTACTTTATTGTTTAACATTAATTTTACTTTTTAAAGAAAATATAAATTGGCCAAAGGTAAGTAATTCAGATCGAATATTTAAATTTAAATTTTAACTTTTAATTTTCACAATCAAGAGAAATCAAATTGGTACCGAAAGGGCAGTACATGGGTGTTAATCCTTCCCTGACTATAATCGACTCCCGAATCTGAAAAATTTCTGGTAAATCTTAGATCAGGTAAATGGTAAATTAAGGTGTCCAATCAACCTAATTTAAAATAATCGGTGGAGGATCCATCACACAAAAATAAGTTGGAACTCCGAGACCACCCGAAGGACGGTTACAATACCTAGGCGCCTCCGTTGGGGAAAGGTAAGAGAGTCAGGCCAAAAATGATTCTCGGTTGTCTTCCTAGATGAAAGATATAAGTTTAATTATAATTTATCTTTTTTATCCTTGTTATTTACCTTTAATTATTATTTTTTAAATAAATAGTTGGACTGACAATTTTCTAATGATTTCATATTTTTTAAAAATCATTCATCTTAGGTTCTATTCCCGAGCTCTAAATCATTTTTTTAAGTGGAGGCGAAAGCGACGCCTTTGTGAAAATTTATTCTCTGTATAGGCCTAACAAGCAATCTACGGGATTCATATACCTTATGTCCTCGTGTTAATTTATTCTCCGTACGGACATAAGGGAATATATCCTCTCAAGTTTAACTTGATCCACATAAGCCTGTGACGAGCTTAGGACTGAGGGTTTGGCAAGCACAAGGGGGCACCGAAAAGGAAAATTGGGGTACATATCTTTTAGAGCCAAACCGTGTTGCTGCAAGTAATTGGAGCCCACCCCAAAACTTCATTCAAATCCTAGAATGCTTTAATTATTTCTTACTTTATTTTTAATGTTCAAAGCATGAGAATTATAAACATATGCGGTTAGGATTTGTTCATGAAAATAACATGTGGGATAGAGATCATGTTCGGGTAGGAATAAAAAGCATGTGGGGAAAATATCATGTGGGGTAGGATTTTTTGTTTTCATTATTATTCTGATTACTATTCCTATTTTACTAACTTTTTTCCTTTCATTTTTTGTTTTATTTTCCTTTTATCATTTGCATCAGTTAAAGAGGTGTTGATCCGCAAAGTGTTCGTTAAACTCAAATAGTTTGCATTAATGGACAAAGGGGTTGTAATACAAGAGGTAAAAAATGCAACAGTACGACTATGGTCAGAAAAGACTTAGAAGGAAAAGGGAGACAGTCTGCAAGATAATTATGTGGACCTAGCTAGCTATGCCTCCATCAGCCTCAAACAAATGATATCCAAGAGTTGCGAAACATTTGGTACAACCAGATGAATGAAAGGAAATAGAGATTTTGCCAACGATACAGTGATATCGTACACCTACTCTATGTCAATAAATACGAACCTCTAATTCGAGCCTTAGTGCAATTTTGGAATCCGAGATATAGTTGCTTTACATTTAGCCAATAAGACATGGAGCCCACAATTGAAGAGTACACTACCCTGTTACATTGTGAGGGAATCAGAATAGACTGAGTCTTCATCAAATACATCAAAAGTCAGCCATTCAAGAATGGGTTGAAAAGGTTGCAGGAGTTGATGAAAAATGGGTAACAATAAAATTCAACATAAGGGTAAAGGATAAGAAATTGCTTGGGCTCACATCAAGCAATTAATGAAGAATCATCCTGATGAATGGAAGGTCATTGATCTCTTCGCACTGGGTATCTATGGCTTGGTTATCTTCCCAAAAACTTTGGGATAATTGAGACTGTTGTGCTAGAATTATTCGAACAATTGCCTAAAAGAGTAAACCCTGCACCAGCAATCATAACTGAGACATTCTGTTCATTAAAACACTGTAGAAAGACTGGTGGAGGACGTTTTGTAGGATGCACACAACTACTTCAGGTTTGGATCCAGAGTCATTTTTTGAAAACTGATGGGATTTCTTACCGCTGGTTTAGTACAACTAATTCACCTTTTGGTGGAATTCCTTACACAAAAATGGCAAGAAGGCGTTCCAAAGGAAAAGTGGACAAAGATATTTATGCACCTCCAGGACAAAGACATCGTATGGAGAGCCCCCTGGCTGACGCATAGTGATATTCTTTATCGGTGTTGAGATTCAGAAGTAGTAATATTACTTGGGTTATAGGGAGGAGTTGGCTATTCTCTACTTTTAGCACTGCAGCACTATAGGGCACGCCAGTTTGTCTCAATCACACATGAGATATTTGGATCCGAGTTCACATATCATAAGGATAATTAC